TGGTTTGTTCCACTTTGGAGTAAGCTGTTGGGGGATAATCAGTTGTGTTGTGTGTTTCCTTGACTGATGAAGCCTTCCAGATTGTAGGCGAAACGTTTCAGTACAAAAAAAGAAACTGTCCAGATGACCTGACTGAACAATGTTGGATTGTAATACCTGGATTATTGATCATGGACTTTGTTGTATTCAATTTTAACAATTGATTTAAAGGAATTAGGTCAATTTGTCCTCTAGTAGTCTAAGCTTAAGACAGCATAACAAGCCAACCCTAACTATAGGATTTATCAAAAAGCAAAGTCTTGAGTCCAGTCTTAAAACTGGATAATGTGTCAGCCTCACGGACAGAAACTGGAAGTTGGTTCCACAAGTGAGGAGCCTGATAACTGAAAGATCTGCCTCCCATTCTGTTTTTTTTTAACTCTAGGGATCACGAGATAGCCTGCAGTCTGAGTGTGAAGTGCTCTGTTGGGAAAATATGGAACAACAAAATCACAAATATAAAATGGAGCTAGGTTGTTGAGAGCTTTGTAGGTTAGAAGTAAGATTTTGAATTCAATTCTGGATTTGCCAGGGAGTCAAAAGCTAAAACTGGAGAGATATGATCTCTCCCACTAACTCCAGTTAAGACTCTGGCAGCAGCATTTTGGATCAACTGAAGACGTTTTAAAGAAGTATTTGGATACCCAGATAATAAACCATTGCAATAGTCCAGTCTAGATGTGACAAATGCATGGACCAGTTTTTCTGCATCATTTTTAGATAAAGTCCATGCTCAATAATCCAGGTATACAATCCAACATTTTTCAGTCAGATCATCTGGACAGTTTTTTTTTGTGTGTTGAAACGTTTCGCCTTCGATCCAGAAGGCTTCATCAGTCAACAACACTGATTCTTCCTCCAACAGCTTACTCCAAAGTGGAACAAACCAGTTCTGCTTGTGATTAGATGGTCTCTTTGGTACGCCTCTCCTCCATTGCTGGCCATCTTCCTTGTTGACAGTCTTGTCAAACTGGTTGAAAACAACAAAGTCCATGTTCAAAATCTGGTTTATTCCACTTTGGAGTAAGCTGTTGGAGGAAGAATCAGTTTTGTTGTGTTTCCTTGACTGATGAAGCCTTCTGGATCGAAGGCGAAACGTTTCAGCACAAAAAAAGAAACTGTCCAGATGATCTAAAAAAGTTAAATCTGGTCCTCTGGACATTCAAAAAAACAAAACAAAGCAAATCAACAAAAAAATGTAGAAACGTTTTGTCTCTCATCCGAGAGACTTCCTCAGTCTGAGGAGCTGTATTCAGCTCAGTCTCTTAAATAGCACCTTCTCAGAGTGGATCAACCAGTTTGCTGCTGACAACCAAAACCAGCTGATCACATGCTCAAGAAGGACCATCAGCCTAACAATGGATCATTAGCACCTGATGGCTGTTTACTGTTCACAGAGGGCTGAGTGATACTAGCAATCACAGCATTGTAAGAGGGGGACAGTTGAACCCGGAGGCTCCACCCCTGTTTAATGATGGACGATTTCTTTTCACAAAGATGGCCTCCTTTACTCCTCTCTCAAACCATCGTTCCTCTCTGTCCAGGATGTGAACATCTTCATCCCTGAAAGAGTGACCGCTGGCCTGGAGATGAGTGTAGACCGCAGAGTCCTGGCCTGATGATGTTGATCTTCTGTGCTGGTCCATCCTTTTGGCCAGTGGCTGTTTAGTTTCCCCGATATAAGACTGATCACCCTCCTGACACTGAACAACATACACAACATTACTCTGTTTGTGCCGGGGGACTGGATCTTTGGTATGAACCAGTCTTTGCCGTAATGTATTTTGGGGTTTAAAAGCCACTGGGACGTTATGTTTAGAAAATAAATGTCTCAGTTTCTCTGATACTCCCTCAACATATGGAATGACCACTGGTCTGGGTTCCTCCTTTTCACCTGTTGGCTGACTGGAGTCCAGATGATCTGACTGAAAAATGTTGCATTTTTAGATAATTATCCTGATGCATGCTCAATAATCCAGGTAGAAAAATCTAAAAAAAAGTTAAGTCTGGTCCTCTAGAAATTAAAAAAAAAATGTAGAAATGTTTCGTCTCTCATCCGAGAGACTTCCTCAGTCTGAGGTGCTGTATTCAGCTCAGTCTCTTAAATAGCACCTTCTCAGAGTGGATCAACCAGTTTGCTGCTGACAACCAAAACCAGCTGCTCACACGGTCAAGAAGGACCATCAGCCTAACAATGGATCATTAGCACCTGATGGCTGTTTACTATTCACAGAGGGCTGAGTGATACTAGCAATCACAGCATTGTAAGAGGGGGACAGTTGAACACGGAGGCTCCACCCCCATTTAATGATGGACAATTTCTTTTCACAAAGATGGCCTCCTTTACTCCTCTCTCAAACCATCGTTCCTCTGAGGAACTAGTAACAAGGAGAGAGAGCTGTGCAGAAAGAACTGAGAAGAAAGATTAGGGATGGAAAAAGCATCTATAGGAAAAAGATGGAGGATCAGCTGAAGCAGAACAACATCAGTGGGGTGTGGATGAACCTTAAAAACATATCAGGCCACAAATCAAGCCCCCAGGCTGTAGGAGACAAAGGGTGGGTGAATGACTTGAACCAGTTCTTTAACAGATTTGATCTGTCACCCACCCCCACACCTACTCCAGCCCTGTCCCACCTGCTGTCAGCCCCATCATCACCTTTAATGACCGCCAACTTCTCTCTCAGGAATTCACACCTCTCAGCTCTCAGCCATTAGCCTCCCCCTTCATTCTAGAAGACATAATTTCACAGCCCCCTTCCCCCACCTCCATCTTGTCCCTATCAACTCTTCAGGTGAGGAATGAGCTGCGAAAGATCAAGGTGCGTAAAGCTACAGGTCCAGATGGAATTAGCTCCAGGCTCCTGAGGTGCTGCTCAGCTCAACTGTGTGGCATCATGGGATTTATGTTCAATCTGAGCCTGAAGTTGAGGAAAGTACCACAACTGTGGAAGACCTCCTGTGTGGTACTGGTACCAAAAACCAAACATCCCAAGGACCTCAGTAACTACAGGCCGGTGGCTCTGACCTCACATTTGATGAAGACCCTCGAGAGGCTGGTCCTCAATAATTTGCGCCACCTGGTGAGGTCTTCATTAGATCCATTGCAGTTTGCCTACCGGCCTGGCATCGGGGTGGATGACGCCATCATCTACCTCAGGCACCAAGCTCTGACCCACCTGGAGAAACCTGGAAGCACTGTGAGGACCATGTTCTTTGATTTCTCCAGTGCTTTCAACACCATCCAGCCAGGACTTCTGCGGGACAAGTTGGAGTTATCAGGAGTGGATCATCACATGTCCCAGTGGATACTGGATTACCTCACTGGACGCCCACAGTATGTGAGGACACAGGGCTGTGTCTCTGACATGCTGGTCTGCAGTACGGGGGTCCCACAGGGAACTGTACTGGCACCGTTCCTCTTCACCCTCTACACTGCAGACTTCACCATCGACTCCCCACACTGCCATCTGCAAAGGTTCTCTGATGACTCTGCCACAGTCGGCCTCATCACAGGTGAGGACGACTCAGAGTACAGACAGCGGACTCAAGACTTTGTGGACTGGTGCCAGCAGAACCACCTCCTGATCAACGCTGCTAAAACTAAGGAGCTGGTTGTGGATTTCCGCAGGCACAGGTCCACCTCACTGACCCCGGTGAACGCCCAGGGTGTGAACATCGAGATTGTGGACTCTTACAAGTACCTGGGTGTTCACCTGAACAATAAACTGGACTGATCTCACAACACTGATGCACTTCACAGGAAGGGTCAGAGCAGACTCTACCTGCTGAGGAGACTGAGGTCTTTTGGAGTGTGGGGGGTGCTCCTGAAGACCTTCTTTGATTCAGTAGTGGCATCAGCCATCTTCTATGGTGTTGTGTGTTGGAACAGCAGCTTATCATCAGCTGAGAAGAAGAAGCTAGATAAGCTCATCAAGAAGGCCAGCTCTGTGCTTGGATGCCCCCTCGACCCAGTGCAGGTGGTGGGAGACAGGAGACTCCAGCTAAAATAACATCATTGCTGGACAACGTCTCTCACCCCATGCATGAAGCTGTTGCTGAACTGGAGAGCTCGTTCAGTGACAGATTCCTGCATCCTAAATGCAAAAGGAGCGTTACCGCAGGTCCTTCCTCCCAGCAGCTGTTAGACTCTACAAACACCACTGCTCCCAACAAACTCAATAAGGATTAAATACATGCTGACCTCTGCTCAAACACACACTCTGCCTATAATACTATACTGTCAATAGTCTGTCCTTATCAATGTTCCAATACATATTGAACATTATTATTGATATTGTTTATCTTATTTCTTATATATTCAGAATCAGAATCAGAATAAACTTTATTGGAATTGCACCGAGGTACAACGCGAATATGTACGTACAGTCGTCCGAAAGATGGGCGGAACGCATGAAGCTGCAACTACAGGAGAGCGCGGCCATTTTATCCTTATCAGATAATAATCTTAGATAGGAAAAGGGGTAGAAACATGAGGGTAAATAGTGATATTACAAAAAAAGATATTT